TTTTCTCGAATTTTTATTCTATGTTTTTTATTTCTTGGGCTTTACTAATATTTTGAAATACTTAAGTGTTGCTATTGTAGCATGATCTAATAATATAATAACAATTTTATTATTGACAAGTAAGTTTAAACCTGTTAGTAGGGGTTGACAGGCACGGTCTGCGTCAAAATATTTCCGCCCCTCTCTTCCGGCAACAAAGATAGGAGAAGTGCACTTATTAGGGGTTATAACCCTTACTAACAGGTCTATTCTGCACGTTACCGAAGTATTTGTAACCGGAAATATGTATTACCAAAAAATGTTGCCAGTTCTTGTCACCGCGATTCTTGATACGTTGGTAATGCAGTTAAAATATTCAGACATTAAGCTATGAAGAATTAAGGAAACTCTGGCATTGCATATTTCACGGGAAAATACTTTGTTACCAGCTTATGAGATGGTAACGAAATTTACCGGTTAAAAGAATACACAGAATGCGAAAAGGGTTTCAAAATTGAGACGAACTTTATTTACCGGTTACAAAATTTTTATTATCAGCGCAGAATATACCTGTAAGTGGAGTTCACCTTTCTTTGCTTCCGGAAAAGAGGGGGAAGTAATTTTGCGCAGAACTTCTTTCTGCACGAGCGGTCTTCGCCAGTACTTGGGGATTATAACCCTTGCTAAACAGAAGTCTCATTTACTATATTTCGTTTCAACTGAAATGCAAAGTAGAATTTTTTTCTCAGTAAAAAGCTCCTTTTAAAGCCATAAATTAGTAAGGTTAGTTTATTTCGATCACCTTTATGTACATACATATGCTCAAAAAAGGTAACATATTTTTAAAAACACTGAGGAAGATTAAAATTATTACATATCTACTCTCTATTCCAGCAACTTCGGCATTCACAGGAGGAACTTTTTCCATCGCTTAAAAATCGTTTTCACTTTTCTTTTAAATTAGATACTATATTTTTTCCAATTTTTTGGAAAAAGTATTATGAATATCTTCGAAAATGTTGGTAATCCTAGCTTTGTCTGGGAAACCGATGACCTTTGTCAACAAAAATAAAAATAAAAGAATTTAAAGACACTTTTTTCCCTACAATTTTTTACCGAAAATAAAAATGACCTAAAAATTTTTAAGATTTTCCACCTCATTCGAAGTGGAGAATTTATAAGACATGAAAAATAATGCGAGTTATTTGCGGTTGCTATTAATTTTTATAGTCCTTTTTAGAATAGAATGGCAACGCTGCACAAAAATTATATTTTAAAGATAATTTCAACAAAATATAACTTTTAAAACAAAAAAACAGATAACATTTTTCGCAGCTAACATGTTTTACCGAAAATAAAAATTGCTCGAGAATTTTCAATATTTTCCACCGCTTTAAAAATCACAAACAGTTCTGCACCTGAACTCCATTTGTGACATTAGGATGCAGCAAAAAAAATATCTAGCAGCTTTTCCGGCGGAATCATAAAATTTATTAAATGTTAAGACTTCCGCAAAATACTTCGGAAAAATATTAAGATTTACGTGAGCTGGACGCATTTCAAAATACCTATAAAAAATCTCGTTATTTTGATTCCATTGACAAAATTAAAGGAAAACAAGTAAGAGCAGCGCTGTCTTCGGCTATGCCTAAGGGTTCATACCTTTCATGAACATCTGAAAAGTTTACTTTAACAGATTACTGCAGTTGAAAAAATTTATATATTCACAGCATACATAGATAGAGGAGATACATATGTATCTATATCAAAAATCATATCTAAACAACCAGAGGTATGGAAGATGTACCTTATATAGCACCAATCTAAGTGATTTTCACTGCTGTGTGGTCGGTATGTAAACCCGTAACACAGTTTAATGGGTTTAGCTTCCTACATAAAAGAGATATATCGTAGTACACGAGATAAAGCTTGTACAGCATATACTTTGACGATTTCCTCAAAAGACCTTGTATTATTATTTATAAAAAAGCTTACGAAATTTATCGGTTTTAGCTGTCCAAATAAAGTAGTTTTAGATACAGTAAAATCCCATATCTGAACAATTAGTTGTGTGGAGGCAATAAATAGTTTATACAGTGACCCGATCTTTACTAATTTTACTGTAAATTTTATGTTAATAATTCTAAGTGCATAAATGGAGAAGTTATGACAAAAAATTTCATATCTGAACAATCAGTTGTATGGGAGCTATATGTTATAGTGTCCGCTTCTTCCAGTTCCGACAAATGACTAATACATTATAAAAATACTCCCACCCACCAAAGTTCATCCGGGTATCTCGAAAACTGAGAGACTAGATTGCATACAAACAGACGGGCAGACGGACAGACGGACATGGCTAAATCGACTCAGCTCGACGTTTCGATCACATAAATATACATTTTAATGGGTATATCTCTTCTCGTTCTGATACTTACAAACATCGGACCAAAGTTATAATACCATTTCATGCCATGAGAGGTATAAAAATTATATGCGGACCTTTTAAGAGTAAGCTCTTCTGTGATCTGAGGTAAATTTTAAGGAAGTTATTTTAAAAAAACTAAATTTAATTAATTAATTAATGGTAGCGATATTTTTTTATGGAAAGTGGTGTACGCTAATATGCATATACATATTGCTGCTTTCGACCAACGATTTCACAAAGGCTTTACACACATACAAACATATCTACATGTACACGTGCACGTCCGTATTTATTTACGTGCTTCTGCGCATATTTATTTCCGTTATCGTTCCAACAGGCACATACGGACATATTTTTGTTTTTGCTTCTGTTGTCGTAAATATTTGCACTTTCATTTATTGCTTTTGTTGTTGTGTTTTTTATGAAATTCTTTTTGCGAAATGCTACTCAATTAGTTGAGATTTAATTTTAAATTATATTTTATTTTTTTCTTCTTATTTAAAAATATTTATTGTTGGTGCTTTTGTGATGCTTTTCGCAATAACAAATAATATTTTGCGAAGAGGAGAAGAGGATCCCACTTATAATAAATATATAGTTGTGTTCTATTGTATCTGTACACACAAATATGCTCAAAATTTACTTACTTAAAAATCGGCATAATAATTTAAAAAAAGGAGACCACAGGAACAGGAAAAGGTGTATGATGCGAGTTGCTGCGATAAGTAACTCGATTGTCACCCATATTTATTTAGCAAAAAATTTACCTATTGAATTTTTTTGAAAATCACGTAATTTTTAAGCAAAAAAAACCGACTTCAATTCCCATATAAAAATCTAAGAGTATCGTTAATATCTTCAAAACTCAATGATCGGTTGTAAACTAAATTAGAGTCGGACCACCTGTGAGGTACCACCTTTCCCTTAAAAAAAAGAATTATAGAAATTGGTAAACGTAGCCAAAAGTTATGCTGTAACATACATAAAAAAAATACTCCGACAAATTGATAACCTTCCTCCTTTTTGTCAAGTCAGTTAAAAACAAAATAGTTAAAAAAACTTTGAAGCGAAAAGCCCACAAAAAACCCCGCTGTCAATAGCAGTTGCATAGAAATGCATCAAAGTTTTTGGGTGCACTTTCGCTTGAACGCTCAACAAAGCTACAAAGCGCGCGCGAAATAGTTGAAGCTTTGGGTAGTTGCCACCGCAGCGCCCCAAAGTATTTTCGCAACAATATTTGTGTCGTCGTTTGTAGTGGTGCCTACATAGGCATGCGAATTTTAGTGGAAATTTGGTTGTGCCATTGGCGAGCGTTTGTGATAAAGATGATCCTTCTCAATATATGTATCCATTCACACTGCCTTTTTTGCCATACTCGCTTTCGCATAACTTGCTTGCCGTGGTCGTCTAATAAAAGCTCAAAGTGTGGTGGCATTGGAAAGTAAAATGTTTACCACGGTGGCGTGGCGGCAAGGGTATGCTTACCAAATTTAGTGGTAAGACGCACCAAATGCGAGTTCAGCGTTGCTTAGAAATCTGTTAGATGCTGTGAAAATAATTTAATACTGCACTCGGCAGTTGGTCCAACAGGCTGACTGGCTGGCTGAACCACAGGATGGATGGGTGAGGGAAGAAAATGTATGTGTTTCTATTGACGACAGAAATTCCTAAACTAATTAGCTTTGCAAAAATAAAATGACTTGCACTTTGTTTTTGTTGCAGCTGAACACATAAGTATGCTGATTTGAGAAAGTTTTCCGTATATGTATACAGATTCGTTTGACTCTTCATTGGTTTTTTGCTACATTGGGGAGCTGTGTAGTGGCAGCTGAGCTTCGCGAGGAGCGCTGCATAAAATGGCATAGAATGAAATAAAGTGAAAGAAGTGAAAAGAAATTAAAAGAAAATAAGGCAATGAAACTACATGAAATGGAATGAAATGAATATTAAATTACCTACGCCAGAATTCTGAATGAAAACTTTCTGAACGGAACATAATGGAATGGAATGGACTAGAATGTAATGGAATAAACTATAATCAGAAATTGTGAATTATCCCTCATTTGAGCTGACCCTTTGATGATCTCCCCACCCAGGGAAAGTAGTGCATGATTCAGCAAAGGGATCCGAAGTTGAACTATATTGACAGATTCGTAGTAGCTGCGAACTAGCAAATACGATTACCGAATTCTGTCTTAACTTTTTGACAAATTTAAAGTCTTCTGGCCTTCCCACAGAATTGCTAATAAAAAACTCTTGAGTTAAACTGAGCGGTTTTTACTGCAATCTATTTGAACTGAAATCTACATCAGACTAATGGTGCTTTCTTTGCTACAAAAATGTTGCCTTTTCATTGTCCTCTCTTTAGTATTTGTGCGAAGAAGTCAATGAAAAGATACAATTTTTCGGCAAAAAAGAAAACAGCATAAGTTTCTTTTACTTTTTATACTATTTTTGAACTAACAATGTTTTATATTTTTTCTACTTTTCATACTACTAATGTCTAACACTTTTTCTAATTTTCATACTATTTACTTTAGAACTACTAACAATTTTGTTAAGATATATGTACTTAAATGTTGACTCTTTTAAATTATGCCGATTTTAATTCAGCTCTCTTTCTTTCTTCATTATCCCGCCTACGATCTCGTCTCTGAGTATACTTGTAGTAAATCAATTCGCCGATGAATGCGAAAATACTCAAAATCAGGCCAAAAATCAATGGCAACACAAGACCAACAAAATTGTCCATATCCAATTTGACTGGACCCACATCAAAATTCATATACATTGAAGCTTCGATTTCTTCTTGCTGTTGTCCATCCATATAATAGGCGCCTACCTCCCATTCCCAAAAAATATCCAAACCTGTTGAATGCACTTCCAATATGACGTCATTTAACTTGGAGAGCATAGCCCAGAGACGTGGCACAAAGACGAAGCAGTACTGAAAGTAAATATCGTCTACCATTAGCTTAAGGCGTTTAAAAGATTCATCGGTGAGGAACTCAACGTTGCCAAAATGACCTAAAAATGTAAAAAAAAGAAATCAGCATGGTCGAGGGGGTCAAATACATATAGAATTTGAAACAAAAAATTACATATATTTGAAACGGTTGATTTTAAACCAAGGTTGTAGTAATTCTGTGTAAAAAGTGGTGTTGTTACATGAAACAATAACAATAACAACGCGATGTGTAAAAACGTATTTGGTGTCATGCGATGCTATGTCATGTTGCCGATGTGATGCATGGTGCTACCGTATTAGGTATGTAGTTAATTAATGAAACTGATACACTTATTGAAGACAAAAAAACAGTGACATAATGTCATGTGATATCGTATGATGTGATGCCATGTTGTTGATGTGTCGCATAGAGGTTACATTAAATATGACGCTACCTGGGTTCTTTTGAGGTTAATATGATAACTCAAAATTGGCATATATAAGGTTACATTAAATATGACGCTACTTGAGTTATTTAGAGGTTTATATGATAACTCAAAACTTACACCATATGATCAGGCAATTAAGGAAACTGTCTTTCAATTCACCACAGTTTTTAGAAAGTCGAAATCCACCATACACATACATATATTTTCGCCTTAAAATAATAAAATCCAAAAGTTCAATAAGTTAAATAAAAAATGTATATGCCGTACTTTGGTCTCTTCGCCATTGCGACTGTTGGAGCAGCGCGAGCAAAATATTTTACAAGCGCTTTCTGGCAAAAAAGCTTTTCACCATGAAAATTGGTAAGGCAGATTTTTTAGTAAGACTTTCATGTCATACAAATACTTTCGACTATCTTATGGTCTGATTATGCATACTTCGCATAACTTCGCACAATTTCGCATAAACTTCAAACTGTAATTTCGTATGTACTTTGTATGTATTTTGTATGTATTCCATTACCCAGAAATTAGCAGAACTTTTAAAAACTTAGCGATCTGTTGAGTTTAGATTTTGCTTCACATTTTCTTAAGTTACATTTTAGTGCACTGGTACAAATGGTTGTGCGAAGTTATGCGAAGTATGCATAATCAGACCCTTAGGCAGAATTGACTTTCTAGTAAATATGGTAAATATGATGTGGCTTTACGTGGAATTGACTCCTCTGCCATGAGGCAATTATTCATTTGTAAAGTTGTGATATTTGATCGACTAAAGTGATCGTATGTCACTGAAATGATATTATGAAATAAAATGCTATCAGGCAGGTTATGCAATTCACTTTCGAGTGAATTTCTATCAAATACGCTTTGTATTCAAATTGGTAGGGGTTGAAATTCACTCGGAAGTGAATTACAGAAGCTGCCTGTATGTATTGTTTGTTTGTTTAACAGAGCAGCTTGTAGACGAAAGTTATGTGACATCATAGAAGTGAGTATTAAAACATTGTATGTATTTATATATGCGACATCATTTTAAACGGAATTATGTTATTGAAACGGGATAATGTAGGCTGATGTCATATAATTGATATGTTATGTGAAGTCATGTAATAACGTTTTATGTGACAAAACTTTCATGTCGAAAGTTGTATCAATTGGAGCGATATGATAAACTTTTGTCATCTGAGGGTCAATATAATTATATATATATATCAATATAAATTCATGTGTTGTCAACAGACTGTCACACTCGACTCACCAAAAGCCAATCGTTCCAAGATAAAGCCCATATTTTCAGTTTTAGCCAATTCAGTAGTTTGTTCATAAGTGTAAACGCGGTAATTCCTCAACAAATCTTCAACAAATGGCTAGAAGAAAATTCAATTATAACTGTAGTATATTTACATATTTGTTGCTATACAAATTAAACCCACATCAGTATTTCCTTCTCCTCTGAGTGAGATTACCCAATCAGGTGATGTTGCAGTCCATGGAATACCATGACTATGTAGACGTTCTACTGAGTCAGCAGCTTCCTCCAAGCTATTCAAGAATATTTATGCGGTGGTGAAATAGCATTTAAATAGCAAAACACTTACGTTGGCAGCGTTAGTATTGCCGATAGTCCGCCACCATAGACACTCGTCACAATCGTATCGATCGTGTAGCATGCAAAGAGCACCATGCGTACCGTATGCGAATTGACTACATAGTCCGAGCCCTGTGATACAAAAAGTTTAAGCGTAGTAATATAACCAAATTGAAAACTCTCCAGTAAACCATATTTAGGCTCGTCATCCGAAGGAGCCATATAGCGTGTGAAAAAGAGTGCCAATGCCTCAAGGAACAAGCAAGCAATCACGCCTAGCCATAGGGTCAATTGAAATGGCCGAAATGGTAGTAACCAGCTGGTGAGACGATGCGGTGATGGTACTAGGCACGTCACACCGGAGCGTCCAATAAAGTGGGACATATCCAGGTAACGATAGTCATCAGGCCTTCGGGAAATGTGAGAGAGTGGTGAGAAAAACAGCACATTTTTTATTGTTATTTAAGCTCACCAAAAATACAAAGCTCCAACGGCAAAATCTGATCTTCTCTCTGTGATCAGACCAAATATACCATCACCAGTTAGATTTGCATATGATGTGCCCCATTCTCCTCTCTCAGCTGAAATACATTTTTATTTAGTTAAGTTTTTAATCCTTTCTTAATTGTACATTAGTTACTTGTACGTATACATGGGTTAATGAAAATACTTACACGATTCCACTTGAACTGTGCAGTTTATAACCTTGCAGAGTGCGAATAGCATTCTTACTTCGGTACCGTCCAAATGTGCGGTGCCTTGTGCATTGCTGGGACTTGTATCTTTTAGTTGAGGCTCACGTTCCTAGAAAAGAAAAAGAAGCCAGTGACAGATTTAAGTCAAAAGCAGGTAGTTAATGCAACTCGTAACTATGTATCTATATTTGTATATATGTAAATATGAATGAGTCAAAAAGTGATATTATAGAAGGATCATGAGTCAAAAATCAAATACGAATAATGAACTTTCAAAATAATTCGGAATTTTGTGCAGCTCAGAAATTTCTGACAAACTTGGAGTTATATTCGGAAGAAATTCTTCACTTCCGAAGAGTTACGAAGCCACTCAGTAACTTTGGAAAAATTTTCGGAGTTTTGCGAAATTTGACGGACTAACAAATTTTCGTTTATTCCGTAGTTTTTCGGGAGTGATTTAAACTACTTCGGAGTTATTCGATCTTTTTGGGAGAGACAGAGATTTCAAAATTAGATAAAACATACTTGAAATATTTTGACGTGATGATGATACAATGTGCAATAAGCCCACATCCCACCTACTCACCAAAAGCCAAACACATCAGAACAACACCCTTTTTCAGTTTTAGCAATTTGAAATAGTTATTCATGTGCGTAGACCTTATAGTTTTCCAATAAGTTTTCAACAAATGGCTAGACAACAATAGATCCTTTCAGGATTATAAATTTGAAAGATTTCATGGAAAGAAAAGGAGGAAATTAAGATTGAAAAAAATACAAGCCGAATACGCTATTTTTAATTAGAACTTGACCCAAAAAGTTATTTCATGTTTTTCGGAATTAAAACAAAATTTTCGGAGTTGACAAAATGTTTTATTTTATTTTTATTTTTTATTAATATAAAGCAAGGGAAATATTTAGGTGATTTTCCAAGCTAGTCTATAAGATCATTGGTTGAATCCATTTTTGGAGTATAAAATATCATATGTCAAAAAAAAAAATCTAAAGCCCTATATCTAACGTATTTATGGGCCAATTTGTCTGCTTTGTTAAATACATACCGGCTAGGAATGTTAATCCCGGGATCTCGGAGTTTCGGTCTTTTTAAAGTCCCGAATTATTGCCTAGAATGCCGTTATTTTTTTCAAAATTTTCATTTTGATGCAGAAATGCGTCTAGATGCTCTAGTAATATTTCTGCATCAAAAAGAAAATTTAAAAAAAAATATCGCTTACGTTATTTTGGCTGTTAGGGGTCGAAAAATATTTTCAAAAAAATCATGACATCAGAGAAATGCCCATTTATATGCAGTTAATTACGTGTATTATGAGGTAGACTTTTATAAAAAAAATTAAAATTTTGGATAACCAAAAGGAATATGGAGAAAACTGGTCGAATTATTTCTGTCATCAGTATTATGAACTTCTTTCAACCAGAAAATAATTTTTTTATTTAATTTTTTTTTTCATCAAGCTTTTTTCGACGTAACTTCATTTACTTTATCAGATATGTTCACACTAAAGTACTATTAAATGGATATAAATTTAATTACTGTCTTTCGTTTTGTTACTTATGAAATAATTTTCACTTTAAATTAAAAATACGTTTCAAGCCCATTTACTTATTATTTACTATATTGATGCAATTTTTTCATGTTAAGTCGTTGAAATAATAAATATCTAAATGCCAGGATCCCGGGATTGAACCAACGACATCCCGAAAATCCCAGGATCGTAAAAATCGCAAAATTAACATCTCTAACACCGGCTATGTAAGTAGTAACATTTTGACGTAAAACGATCTTTCTAGGTGGCGCCGAGGTCAAAATATTTTGAAAAACTGTATTTATGGTCCGATGTGGTTCGAATTTGGCATATGTAGTTGAAACGTAACAAATCATAGATTTCCAAAAAAATTACATTTAATTGGCGCTGAAGACAAAACATAAAGTATATTCGACATAAAACACATGTTTTATTTGCGTTAAAAACTTAATCAAAAGCAAAATTAACGGAAATACAACGATGGAAATTTATGTCACGTGACGCCAAGTAACGTTTCACACTTGGGATTGTAAAAGAAATTTTAAACAAGTTTCATTAATTCAAAAAACTCTAAAACCAACTAGAATTGCTCCAAATCATATTAAAATAAGTTTCATGAAAAGAGCCATCCACAATTGGCCGAGTTTTTGCGATTTTGCAAGAAAATAAAAAAAATCTACTTCCATTTTTTGCCACGTAACGACACTCCATTTAATTGCTTGTTTTTAAGGACCATGTAGTTCGATTAATTTCATTTTTCGGCTACATATAGAGCTAATTACATATGTGCTACACAAGGGTCTAAAAAAAGTAAAAGAAACCAAATGTTTTTCCTTGCTTGTATCTCATTGAAACGTACGACTGTCACGTATGTAATGTATGGAAATACACGTATGCATTTTTGGTTCAATTATGTACATAATTTTAAAGAACTCAGCATGACTTAAACTCTGTCGATACATTTTTTTCCTGGGATTCTGGACTTACTTAATTTGACTTAATTAAAAATTTTTTACTTCCAAAAAATAAAATTATCATAATAACTTCATTGCATTCTTGAGAAGACTAGTTTTAGTCGCGGTCTCATACGTAATTTTTGAGTAATTATAACCTTTTTTTATTGTGAGAGTGGAAAGCAGAAAACAATAATTAACCAGAAATCCTTCACATTTAATGACTAGGCTCATACTTTGTGCGAGTTATAGATATTGTGTTGATCCAATCTTTCCCATATTTTACATTAAGGGTTTTGTTATCAAAGAGAGAGTACAAACTAAATTTCATTGAAATCGGATGAAATTTAATGTTACCGCACACAACAGCGGAGGGCTTGGCAATTATCCCATCTAAGTAAAATTAGACCACATGTCAAGTTTCAGCGAAATCTAACTAATCCTTCTGCCTCCATATATTCGAAACACTATGCGCCGTTCGGAGTCGGCGTAGAAGTGTAGGTAGATTCAGATATGTAATGAAAGATAGTAAATAAGCACCTTGCATTAATTTTAATTTAGTCCCTGCCTACGAACTCAATTCGTACGTTTTTCAGAGCACATAAGTTTGACACGTATCTAAAATATTTTTTTTTCGCAGTGACTCCGAATTTTTCAGAAACTTTCGGAGTTTTCGGGAACTTTCGGAGTTTTTGGGAAACTTTCGGAGTTTATAAAAATCCTATATCTAAAGCTATTTTTTTCCAGTAATCTTAGATCTTTTCAAAGTATTTCAGATTTTCTCCAGCCGACGAAGAGTTATTTCACTATTGCGTATTTGACGCATTAAAAAAAATTCGGAGTAATTCTGAGTTTTTCACAAAATTCCGGAGTTTTTCGGAAACTTTCGGATTCATCTTTTTCTTACTTTGTTAGTTATCTTAGACGTTTTCAAAGTAATTTAACCTGCCAACTAAGAGCTCTTCATTTCAAAAAGTTTTTTCATTTCATCCGCCACTTGTATAATTAAGCGTTGAATAGCGTAATAAAGTCAAATTAACTCACAAAATCTACCACGGAAAAGGGACGATAATCGAAAACACCAGCTGTCACCTCACGTCCCTGCAAATCTTTAATTTTGTCCATATACAAATCAACGCCAAACTCAAATGTGCCGTTTGTAGCGTTGTAACGATCCAATATGTACAGCTGTTCCGGATGCTCAGCCAGAGGGCCAACGAATTTATTAGTTTTCAATGCAAACATTGAGCAATTGCCACACTCAGCTTCGACTATTAAAATATTTGGTTGATCTGTAATTAAAATGAAATGTCAGTAAAGTGTTTACAGTACTTCCATACATAAATATACAAATGTCTATGTATGTGTATTTGACAGCCCACATTGATAAATGTGCAACGGGAATATATGTACGTGAGTAGGTGAATAAGTTATATGTTTTACCTATGAAAAGAAAGTCGTCGAAGTATACCGAAGTATCAGTGTCCAGCAGTAAGTCCTTGCGGTAGACAAATAGAAATTTATTGCGTAACGAACGCCATACCGATATTCTGCTGGCGTTGTAGAAACTACGCGTAAAGACTGGTATGTCCTCTTGAAATGCGACGAAAGACTACGGCAGGGTCGGCATGGTAAATTGATTCAGCATACAGCAATGAGTGTGGGAAAGTGTAAAAATGGTAATTAAAATTCATGCGTAATTAAATTAAAATGCAAAATGAGACTCTGATTTTGCTTACGACCGACCGGGCGCTCGATCAACCGCCACACACACGCACACAAACACACACACATGTACACCACGATTAATTACGCAACTCACCTCACAATGCGTTTCCCTGATGGCTATAGTCAATTTCTGTACCAAGGCATCGAGTTCCATGCCATAGCCGCGCTGGATTTCGACAAAAGCGGTGAAATTGTAAATGTCCTGCTGCAAGGATTGTGACAAATTGTCAGGCCAAATATTGACGTATTGTATGAATTCGCTATCGGCTGGTGTTTTCAATTCAAATGGAAAATCGCGATGCCACAGGATACAGGTGGCATGGGAGTCAATAAAATACTTTTGTACTGAAGATATAAGTGAGAAATAAGAGGCAGAGCGCAGTAGTACTTATCTATTAATAAAATATAAATAAAAACGAATTGATTTAAAAAATGCAAATTTACTTATGAAATTGAGTAGCGTAGTCCAGTAGTTGACTGCAGGTGACAGCAGCAACATTTTTTATTTATTTTTTCAGTTCCCTTTGACGCGCACAATATCACAATTGACCGCAGTGGACGAGTGAACTTAATGTCAGCGCGGAGATGCCGTGATGGTCTTTTTATAACCTAGGCCTACTAGTAGGCTATTTTCTTTAATTAAGCACTTAGTATGTGAAAAGTATAATAGACGTTTGTCATTGTCATTAAGAATGTGTAAATATTTAGATAGTCGCATGCATTAGGGCACACAAGGGGTGGGTTATGGGGTTCAAACCCCCCTAAAGCTAATAACCTCAAATACAAACTGTATCTTAAAGCTAAGAATCCAGCTCTCAAGGAAATTATAAGAAATATTTATTATAATTTCTGTTGCTTGAAAAAGCGCTTTGCTTTTGCTGTAAATTTTCATGAGGAAATGAATATACGAGCATTTTTTTCTTGAGAGCTGCAAACTGATTTAAGAAATTTTGGTAGAAGAAAATTTCTTTTCCATTTCTCGTCCGTCGTTTTATATGAATTTTTCGTTTTTCTTGAGAGTTCAGTTAATTTTTTCGGTATTCGAAATATTAAAAAAATTTAGCAATCGTGAAAACTCACCATCTCTATCGAAAACCAGAAACCAGAAATCGAAAAAATGAACACAAAAGTGCAAAAATTTATGGAATCAATAAATTTATTTTTACTGACTCTTTTAGAACTTTTTATTAGGTACTTTTAAAAGTTAAGCACATCTTGAGTTTATAGAACTTTTTATTAAACAAGTAGTTTTTAAGGAAAGAACACAACCGACTTCAAATTCTTCATGATCTAATCCAATCCAATCATCGGATCTCTAAACCAAATTACGGGACGACCCTTGAGGTACCATCTTTCCAATAAAAAAAGGATTATTGAAATCGGTTCACGTGGTCAAAAATTATGTATTCCGGCGTATTGATAACCTCCTCTTTTTTTGAAGTCGGTTAAAAGTGTTTGAGTTCCGTTAATCTTATGTAAATAAAGTGCAGTTTGTGGATTTTAAAACGTTTATTTATTTATTACATACTGTACATAAAACTTGCATGTATGTATTTTAAAGAGCGTATTATCTGAAGCAAATTTTCAGTATTTTCCGGTGATATATATTTAGAAATATAAAACCCCCCCCTAAAATATATTCCTGGGTGCGCCCCTGGTCGCATGTCTTCAATTGTTCAATTGTCTTGGTTAGTAAGTGGAAGCTTTGCATGGCTTTGCCAATGTTCCGGAATATACATAAGAACACCTTCAGCATGAGGGCGATAGGTTTTTTCGTTAGCGTTTAGCGTCTGATGATCAATAAGAAAATTTAACTTGCGTGTCAACCGTGCGTATGAGTAATTACATACATGTTTATACTTATCTACATAAGTCATTACAAGGTTATTTAAAGCGCACAGGACCAATGGGTATAACTTAAATAGCTTCACAAATGAGGTATGCAGTCTAAACTAAAAAAAAGATTAAAAAATTAGCGACATTTTGTAAAAACGTGAAAATTGTCTAAAAAATACTTTACTTTAAAAAAATGCGTTCTTTTTAAACAGAGTTACTGCGAACCGAAATTTTTCGCAGTAGTGTACAGTTTTTTGTCCGAAAGAAGATACGCGCGTTAGGTATACATTAAGACTTAATTATTTGTGCGACTTTGGAACATTTACGGAGTAATTTGTAATTTTTCGGAGTAATGTGAATATTTTCGGAGCAACAAAAACTCGTTGAATTTTCGGAATGATACGAAGATTTCACTATTTCCAAAAATTTTACACGATAAACATGTGGTGCAAAATTTCGAAATGATTCGGAGTTTTTCGGATTAAAAATACATTTTAGGATAGAAAAATATAAGAAATTTAATACCGCAATATTTCGCATAATAATATCGAGCCAAAAAAGCGTTAAACCTTAAACTGGACTTTAACGTTTTAAGTATATGAAGAACTGTCAGATGTTCTCATTAAGGTGTTTAAGAAACTCAAAGTTTAATTTGATAGTTGTTTGTTTGATTTTTATTATTCACATTTGGACTGTTCCCGTACTCCAGGATTTGGACAAATATAGATCGAAGTATTCGTGGTCTAGAATACGAACCGTTTAGCAAAAATGTGGCTCGATAGAACTTTTCATCCCTATTTTAACCATACCAAGATTGATTGGAACAAATAAAAACCCAAGCCAATAAAAGAGGTTAAAGTTAAACTTTTATATTTATTTTATTTATAATATCTCGGAAACTGCTTGACCGATTAAAAAAGTACTGATGCTTATTTAAAGATACTTTAAATACCTTTTATCTGCATACAGTATAATCCGTTTTAAAAAAGTTTAAAATAACGCCATTAAAAAAAAAAATATTCTTATATATTTTTTTGTTTTTAAGTATTTCCAGCTTAAAAATATAAAAAATATAAGAATTATGTACAACAAGTCAAATACCTATTAAATACCTTTAAATTTTATGTAGTTCAGAAGATATTAATATTTAAAAAATCAAAAAATTTAATTTTACCCATTGATATCTTCTTTATTATTAACTTACGCCAAATAATTTTTGTATGGTTGAAATCAGCACAAAAAGTTGTATGGAGCCACATTTTTAATTTTCGCATAGCTAAAATTTTGATATTCTACACCTAAGTGTACTGAACGTCCTCGGACTATTTCTGCTTAGATCCTGTAAAATGGGAACAGGCGAATTGTCAAAATTCATCAGTGCGGCCAAAATTTATACTAGTGCGCTCAATTTGTTTGCACTCTTCTGCGAAATTAAGAATAAGGGTTGCATTCCCATAAATACCAAATAAAAGTGGTGTTTAAGGAGAGTTAAACGAAAAATATTTGTATGGTAAACTCCAAGTTTAAGAGGAGAGTTTAGTGTTAAGCTCCAAAATGGCCCATAAACTCGAGTGTATGGCTCAACGTGAACGTAGCATTAGATATTCTAGGAGCATTTCTGAACGAAGACAGAAATTTTGAAAAATATATCGCTTCCTTTTTTTTGTTTTTTTTTTTGCTGGTTAAGGCTCGATATGTTATTAGGAACAACTAAATCTTTTCGGATTAGCCAAATTTTTAAAGACTAACGTCGCTCGTAACCAGTAGATAACTGCCACAGATACCTAGACTCTTTCACCTGAGCACGTACACTAGAAGTGTCGGTTATTTTTCGAAGAGATCGTGTGATTAGAGCACGCTAACTACCCTTCAAATCAAATTGGAGCACTAACCGTTTCCATCTCAATTTAGCAGTCATGAACCAACTAAACAGATCACCCAGCACGGCAACCGCGTATTTGTAATTGCATTTGAGAAAAAAAAACAAATAATTGATGACGTCATTTTTTAATAGGTTGTTTCATTCACACACATGGTTTCGTTCCTTTTCATTCACATGGCGGCGAAAAAATGACGTCATTGCAAAAAAAAAATACTTTTTTTCTCGCACGCCGTCCTGGGTGATTTTATTCGTTCGTTCATGTTTAGCAGTTTGAAGGCATGGGCTTCAAAACATATTCTAAGAGATCCTACCACATATTAGCCCCCCTTCAGATTTGCTGTTGTTTAATCGTACTTAGTCGAAAGAAAGAGCAAGGCTTAGTCTCAGCGATTATAGCTTGCTGACCCAAAAGTGCGCCTACGGCGCCAAAAAAGGTTTCCACGACCACCTCTTCATCTTCGGCCATGCGAATCCTTCGAAAACTATCCGCATAGGACCAAATACCCAGCTTAGTTTTGCTTGGAGTATAATAAATTGTAGGACAGACAAACAAGTATAAATTTTTTTAGATTCGTTAAGAAAATTTCAAACAAAATCAAGAATTTAAAATTTACTTCATCCGAAGGTTGTTTCTGAGCGATTCGGAGTTTTTTCAAAGTAATAAGGCAGCTTCGGCCGAAGTCAGCGAATTTCAGCTGAACCAAAAATAATTAAACTTATCTTTATTGTTTTGAAAGTATCTATTTTTTGGAACAAAAAGCAGCATTTAATGTTAATTAGAAGATTTGATATTTATGGATTATACAAGCCGTAACTATGAACTTATGAAATATCAAATAGAGAAACAAGTTACAGTTTTTATGGAATTCGTAGGTTTCTATCTTCGGAATAACTTGTACTTTTAAAATTTATTTGCAAACTTCCTTGCAGGTTTGAAAGAGGCATTTCCTTGGTAGACAGAGGTTTTTCAGAATAAAAACAATACGCAGTTTCTCTTATAAATGCAGGTCTACGGGTAACCTTGAAATGAAAGCCCTTACTTCTTTCAGTATTATTCGGTTTGTTAGGAGTTCGAAACATCAAAAGGTATCACATACGATTTTCTAAAATTTCAGATTGATTTTATCAGCCCCGTTTTCTATGAGATTTCTAATATTCAGATGATCATTGAAATCCTGATTAAAATTTATGATTACAGGTCGGAGTTAATATGATTTAGTAAATTATATATTTTTCGGAACGTTTCGGAGTTTTTGGAGTAATTCGGAGTTATTGAAAATCGCTCAAAAAATCATATCGCACATCTAGATCTTAAGTGAGCTAACTAAAAATTCAGAGAGGGAAATTTAATTGCTTGTGGATCGTACAGATTTAACGCAATTAGTACAGAACAGGTATAAAAATAGCTTTTTGGTGAATGTATATAATCATGAAGAAAAAAATATTTCCATTAATTGCATGTACATAAGTCCTATGAATTGATTTATGGAAAAAAATCGCCCATATTTTTTTTTGAGTTGATTGCACTTTAGATCTAGGTGTGCGATATATTCAAAAAAAATATTCTTTTCCAAAAGTTGCAATAATATATGTATTTAGAAAATTCAATTTGGTGTAATTTTTAGACTATCTGCTATTGAATTAAATTCCAGTACTATTTTTTTATTCTAAATCAGATTATGAAGGAAAATAAAATATAAAATTTTCAAGAATGTCATTTTCAAAAAAAATAATAAATTAAAAATCAGAAATTGTGGTTATATTGTAATGCACTCTCCTCC